GGAAGGGATCCTGAGAAGGAATATCAGACAAGAAATGAACCAGGATAGCAAAGAATTGGAAATGGAAGGAATGCCATCCATTAAGGAATAGATGAACAAGTTATGGTATATATGTGGTGGAATACTATTGTGCTATAAGAAATGACAAGCAGGATAGTTTTAGGAAAATCTGGGAAGACTTATATGAACTGATGCAAAGCGAAGTCAGCAGAAACAGAATACTGCACAGAGTAACAGAAATATTATGTAATAATCAACTGCGTATGACTTAGCTACTCTCAGCAATACAATGATCCAAGACAATTCCAAAAGACTCATGAGGAAAAATGCTACCCACCTCCAGAGAAAGAACTTCTGGAGTCTGAATGCAAATTGAAGCATAATTTTTTAACTTTCTTTAGTTTTTGTGCTTTTTTGTAATATGTAAATATATTCTGCATGATTTCACACGTATAATTGATAAACTGCCTTTTCAATGCATGGGGAAGGGACTGGAGGGAAATAAAAAATACGGAACTCAAAAAATGTTTTTAAAAGAATGTTGAAGATAAATAATGCATTTATTAAAAAAAAGAAATGAAACAGGAGACAGCAAGGTCACAGAAGCTGGTGTTTCTCCCTCAGGTCTTTCCCCATTCCAGACCATCCCTCACTCAGCTGGATTCAGGAAGACCTGCGTTCAAAACTGGCATCAGATTTATTACTGTGTGACCCTGGGCAAGTCACTTAACCTTGTTTGCCTCAGTTTCCTCATCTGTAAAGTGAGCTAAAGAAGGAAATGGCAAACCCCTCCACTATCCTTGCCAAGAAAACCCCAAATGGGGTCACAAAGAGTAGGACACTACTGAAATGACTGAACAATAATAACAAGTATGTGTGGAGTGCCTATATTCTCCAGTGAAAAGGAAGTGAGGTACAGGATGACAGTTCAGGGTTACCAAGATTAAGTGAAACCTTTTTTTTAAGGATAGGGAGACCTTGAGCATATTTGAAGGTATCAAGAAGAAGCCAGTGGATTAGTAGAGGGTGAAAATTTGAGAGAAAGGGAATAACTGATGGTGTAAACTCCTAGAAGAGAAAAGAGGGGATAGGCCTGATGGCATAAGAAGAGGGGACAGAAGAAGGAACACCTTTCTCTTTCTCAAAGACTCAAGCAAGTAACTTACTCAAAAGTCTTCAAGAGTTCCCCGGTGTCTATTGAAAATAAATAAATAAACTCCTTAGTTTGGCATTTGAAGCCCTCTACCATCTTGCTCCATCCCACATTTATTGCCTTATTTTATATTACTACCCTTCCAGCATTTTTCATTCCAGCCAAGACAGATGACCAGGTGTTCTCTGATCTCGCCTTGCTTTTGCCAGCTTCTGTGGACTGATATCTCCAATGCCTGAAATACACTCCCTGCTCATCCCTAAGTAGTGACATCCTTCTCTTTCTTCAAGGCTTCTAATGAAACCTTCCTCTCCAGCTGAAAGTGCTCTACTCCTTCTTAAACCTTCCTAGAGCACTTGATCTAGACCCCTCCTTTCATATTCTCCCTCTTATCATTCTTATTTGTGCCTACAATTTCACCTATTAAACTGTCAGTTCGTTGAGGGCAGGAACAATGGCATTTCCCATCGTTGGATCCCCAGTACGGCACCTTGAGCTAAGTAAGCATTTAATAAGTGAGACAGCTATGCAGCTCAATAGATAAAGCAATTGGACTCAGAGTCAGGAAGACCTGAGTTCAAATCTTCCTTTAGACACTTACTAAATGGGTACCTCGGGCAAGTCACTTAACCTCTTTCAGTCTCAGTTTCCTCTGGTGACAATATAGTGAGCCCTTGGGGAGTGGAGGGCCACCTACCTTGGTGGGGTAGCCCAGGCTACCTTGTAAGGGGTGAACTGGCTCAGATCAGAAAAAGGGAATAGATTAAAGCTTCCATACAGATCAGTATTGAAATCAGGCCACTGGGGCTAACGCACTTCCAGGCCCTTTGAGATGGGAAGACCCAATAAGCAAATAAATAGATACATGAATGAATGAATGGCTGAATGAATGAAACCCTGAATCAATACCTAGATAAATGAATGAATGAATAGATGAATGAATGACTGAATGAATAGATAATTTAGGTGAATAAATAAATAAATGAATGAATAAGTAAATCAATAAATAATTGAATAAATGAATGAATGAGTGGACACAACCAGACAAAAAAACCATTTCCTCATATCATCTATCTCTTCTCCTTACCATCTGCACCCTGAAGCCTCTATATAATTTCTTCTTGGTCTGCTCTACCCCTCCCTCACTTAAAACAACCGCAATAACAGCACAAAATATTTGTGTCCCTACTGATTTGTGACCTTTGTGCACTGTTATTCTAGCATGGGTCTCCTTCTGGGGTTGTAGAACAGATTGTCACTAAAGCAAAAGCTAAGGAACTCAAAATAATGGGCTATTTTCCTATCAGGTCCAGTTAATGTATCACAAGGAAAAACCTCTGTTGCAGGACAACAAACTGACCCCTAACCTCAGCCAACCCCTGACCCCGGCCACTGGCCAAATCCTACCCCAACTCCCCCACCTCCAAGGCAGGCCTACAACCTAATCATTCCATCTTTCTCCTCTTTTTTATCTTATGGCATCAAAAATAACCACCTTTTCCCACAATTATAAATAATGAGATTTCTGAGGTGAGAGGAGTGATGCTAAGCTCAGAACAGCCCTCATAACTTCTTCTAGGTAATAACACAGGAGATTCATGACCAATTCTCCCCCATCTCAGCCTCTCCGGCCATAAAACAGGACAAACAGCTCCTAGAGACAGCCTCAGGAGTCTTGCCTGGACTGTTTGGAAAAGGTCTAGAAATGCCTGTGGGTGGAATTATGTACAAGTGCTAAGCCTAATTAGCACAAAGCACTGCCAGCTATTTAAAGGGATGATTGTCTTAATCAGCTGGAAAAGACATTCAATTGTACCAGGCACAATTTATAGACCTAATTAGCATAGCCATGAACTCTTCCATCCAGGTCCTTTGGAGAAAATAACTCAGTTCTCAGTTCTTCTTAATCTTTGGATTAGTGAAGTCAGCACAGGAATTGGGCTCAACGGCTCACATGGAAAACACCCAACTGCTGATGTCAGTGGCCTTGGTAATGTTGGTGTCTGACTACTTCCCTGGGTCTTAGTTATTCTCCAGGAGTCCATCCATGCTTACTTAGCCCGAGCACGGTGCTAATGACGGAGGCCAACATTCTGGGTCTAATCCTGTCTAATAAGCTCTGTTCTCTCTCTGTGAACATAAATTGTGTCCCTAAATTGGACTAGACCATAAAAGGGAACAAGGAGAGAGATTGTGGATTAATTGGGATAATCCATCCATGCTACCTGGGATAAAAATTCCTCAGAGAAGATGTCTGGTGAGATTAGGTCAGTGATGTCATCTTGGTAATAATGATAATAGTTATAATACATTTTAGTGATTTGACAAGTACATTCCTCAAGACAACTCTATTAGGTAGCTCATGAAAGTGTTACTACCCCACAAAACTATCCCATAGAACCTCAGATCTGGAAATGACCTCAGTGGGCATCTGGCCTTAACCTTACTGGAAAGGCATCTTCCCTCTTTAATATTCCCAAGAGGTGATCCAGCTAGCTACCACTTAAGGACCTCAACCTTCAAATAGTTCTGATTGTTGAACATTTTCTGTATCTGGAGCCAAAGTTTGCTTCTTGTCATTTCACCTGTTGCTCTAAGTTCTACCCTTTGGCGACAAGAAAAGCAAATTACATCTCTCTTCTAATGATATCCCTTTGGATACTTGAAGACATCTCTCATGTTCCTCACCCTGGCCCCTGCCAAATCTCTTTACTAGGCTGCACATCCCCAGTTCCTTTATTTCTTTTATGACATAGTCTCTAGGCCCTGCACCATCCCAGTCACACACTCACCCCACCACTTCCCCACGATGGACTCCAATTTGTCAGTATCCTTTCTAAAATGTGGTACCCAGAATAATGTTCTGTATTATTATACATAGTATTCCAGATGTGGTCTGACCACAGCAGAGCACAGTAGTACTATCACTTCCCTTGTTTTGATCCCATTTTACAGATTAAAAAAAAGTTTTACAGATTAAAAAAACAGACCTAAAGAGAGATAGGAACTTGCCCAAGGTCACACAACTATTAATTGTCAGACCTGAGTATGAATCTTATTCTAAGTCCAGTGCTTACCTCCAATATACCATGTTTCCTCTACAGCAGAAGTGTCAAAAACAAAACCAGAGGGTTGCCTGAGGCTTGAACCAGATTAAAATATAATATATATAAATATAAATATATAGAAATATTTAACAAAAATAAATAAATAAATAAAAATATAATAGAACATAGATAATGTTAATATGTGGTTTTCTAAGTCAGTAATGTCTCTGGCAGTTTAGTGGCTTCTGTTTCTATTTCTATTCTTCTATTTGAGTTTGGTACCACTGCTCTACAGGAAGGAGGGTACTTGATGACATTCCCTAATGACCACCTTTCTTTCTGATTCATGATGGAAAACGCTAACCATATCCAGAGGAAGAACTATGGAGTCTGAATGCAGATTGAAGCATACTATTTTCAGCTTTTTTTGTTTTCTCTTTCTCATGGTTTTTCCCTCTTGTTCTGATTCTTCTTTCACAACATGACTGATGTGGAAATATGTTTAACATGATTGTACATATATAACGTATAGCAAATTGCTTGCTATCTTGGGGAAAAGGGAAGGGGGGAAGGGAGGAAGGGAGAAAAATTTGGAACTCAAAATTTTACAAAAATGAATGTTGAAAACTATCTTTACATGTAATTAGAAAAAAATAAAATACTATTAAAGAAAAAAAGAAAAAAAATAATTTTTCTTTTTTTTAAAGAAGAACGATACTATAAAATATATCAAACTACTCCTAGATATCAAACAAAAGATCAGCCTCCGTAGCTGAAACTACATTGAAACTCAAATTTACCTGCCTCATCTTCAGCAAAGGAAATGATGTACTGATAATAGTTGTTGATCATGCCTGGAAACATGCATGTCTGCCCACGCCCCATGCAGATCTCACTGTACTGCCACTGTCTGGTGGCCTGGTTCTCCCTGAGTGACATCAAGCGCCTAAAGAGGAAAAGCAAATGCCATTAATACCAGTCACTGATGGCACAGTCTGGAATAGTATAAAAGGCACTGATAGCCATGGAACCCGAATCTATTTGAGGTCAACTCTCTGGGTCTCAGTTTCATGATTGTCTGCAGCAGTGAAAAATTCTTTTTTCCTAGCATCACCCCCAATCCCCGCCCTCATAGGAAAAATGAGATACAATTTAATTCAACAAATGGTTATTAGGTACCTAGAGTGTCTCCCCACTCCAATCCATTTTCTACTTTTGCCAAGGTGATGTTTCTTTTCTTTTCTTTTCTTTTTTGAGGCAATCGAACTTAAGTGACTTGCCCAGGGTCACACAGCTAGTAAAGTGTCTGAGGCCAGATTTGAACACAGGTTCTCCTGACTCCAGGGCCAGTGCTCAATCTACTGCACCATGTAGCTGCCCCCACGGTGATATCTCTAAAGTTGAGATGTGACCATGTCACTTCCCTGATCTCTGATCCCAGTGGCTCCCCATCACCCAAAGGGTCAAACATAAACCCCTCTGTTGGACACTTGAAGTCCTTCACAACTTGGCCCCTTCCTACCTTTCCAATCTTCTAATATTTTGTTTTTCTTCATACACTCTATGGTTCAGTAACTCTGACCCACTTTATGTTCTTCAAACACAATACTCCATCTCCAATTTCCATCCTTTTCCTTGGCTATTCTCCATACCTGCAATGATTTCCCTCCTCATCTTTACTTCCTGGGTTCTTTGTTTTCCTTCAAGACTAAATGCAAATCTCATCGGCTATAGGAGGCCTTTAGTGGTTCTCCCAACTGTTAGTGCCTTCTCCTCTCAGATTACCATCCATCTACTCTATATATGTATTGTATGCACACGTTGTCTCCCCTCATTTAAATGCAAGCTGCTTGAGGACAAGGGTTGTTTTTTGCTTTTCCTTGTATCCCCAGAATTTAGCACAGTGCCTGGCACAAAATAAGCATTTAATAAATGCTTGTTGATTACCTCTTTAGGGTAAGGCACTGTGCTAGGCCCTGGGGGTACAAAACCCAAAACAAAATAAAAAGCTTATATTTGTAGCTAGGTGATAGCAGCAGATAGTGAGCCAGGCCTGGAATCAGGAAGATCTGAGTTCAAATCTCCCCTCAGACACTTATTATTTGGATGATCCTGGGCTAGTTGCTTCACCTCTGCTTGTCTCAGTTTCCCCATCTGTAAAATGGGGATAATAATAACATCTGCCTCTCAGGGTTGCTGTGAGGATCAAATGAGATTATATTTGCAAAGCATTTAGCATAGTGCCTGATACAATATTAAATGTTAGCTATTATTATTATCATACATAATATATAGTATATTATTATATGTTATTATGATATTATTATTACACTGGAAGGATGCAACACAGAGAAAGAAACTAAGTGATGATATGAGGAGGGAAGGAGTTCTAATAACTTCAGAGATCAAGAAAGGTCAGAGGTAACTCCAGAGCTCAATTTTGAAGAAAGCCTGAGAGTCTAGTAGGAACAGATGAGGGATGTGAACTAGGCATGGGTGACAGGCTATGCAAAGGCAGAGAGACAGGACGGGGAATGTCAAATTGGAGGAAAGAACACCTAGCAGACTATTTTGCCTGAAACATTGGGTGCATGTAGAGTGGCCATAGGAAATGTGTTAAATCCAGATGTTTGGGTACTAATACATTTCTTCCCTATCTCCCATTCAGGGCAGTAATGAAGACATGTGAAAATAAATCCATTTATATGGTAACAAAAGGTTCATAAAATGCTTTCCTCGCAACAATCCCTTGAACAAGATGCACAAGTCTTATTATCTCCATTTTACACATACAGAAACTAAGGCTCAGAGAGAGAGCGAGTGTTTACAGTCAATGTATATGAAAGCTGATACTGGCACTCATGTCTAACTCCCAAGTCCAGGGTTTTTCCCTGTTACAGAATAATAGCCTCTCAGATGTGGAAGATGTTTGGTTATAATCTGATTCAAAAAATACCAGAACAGGAATCCATGCATGTTCTACTATGGCGTTGCACATGAAATCTCTTCAAATAAAGTACTACAGAAATATAAACTGTTATCATTTACCCAAGTGAGAAGCCTTCTTCCCCCACCCCTACTCCTCCTTTTAAAAAAATCATTTATTTTATTCTGAGCTAAAGAAATAAAACAAGCATTTTCACAACATAGTAGAATAGAAAAAAAGATGATTGTACATGAAACTGAAAATCTATTATATACAACTCACTATTCCTTCTAAATATAAAATAAAGTTATCATGTAACTGACTTTTTTCCCCTTTTTTTCTTCCCTCCTCTCCCCATCTCCCCACCCTAGAGATGGCTACCATTAGACACAAATAAGTATATATATATGTAAAACTATTCTATACATAATTATCAATTCTTTCTTTGGATGCAGATAGCATCTTCCTTCATATGTCCTTTGTAGTTAATTGGTATTTAAAATACTCTCATTACCATCCATAGTCTCTTTTGCCCTCTCATTCCATTGTGCTCTCTGGAATTTCTATTCTTAACAAGCTATCCTTCATTCCGGACCTTTCACCTTGAATTCATTTCATCTTCTGGTGCTCCAGACCTGCTTTAGAAGACACCGTTATCTATCTCTGGTCATCCTCTCTAATGAGAGTTTCTCCTTCTTTCTTGCCCTGGAACCAAGAGGTTCTTTTCATTGTCTACTGACCCTTCTGGACCCTTCCTCTGTGACCTCTCCTCTTTTGAGGTTTGCTCCACCTGTCTATATCAATCACCTTGTTTAGGTTCTTGAGGCTATAATCCACACTCTCCAAATCACTCACTCTTTTTTAAGGAGTTCACTATTGGGCTCATACACCTTATTCCCTGCTCTCTTATTATGACCCATACCATATAGATTTTGAATTCTGAAATTCTGACCTCTTGTCCTTCCAATTTTTCCTCTGTTTCACACTTTCAAGCTTTTGCTCACCATGACCTCCAATGACTGTCATTATTCTTCCAATCCATTACCTGCTTTTGCCTCACTTTCCTCTCTTCCTAGTCCACTTTAAACAGTTAAACTATGTACCTTGATATCCCTTTGCTCCTTAGCCTATGCTATCATTCACACCCTGTCGAGCCTCAATCATGGGTTACATTCACTATCTTCTCCCTTCCTATTCCTATGCTGTTAAATACAGTTGGAAGAAGTCATGCAACAATGATTCTTGAGTCCTCCTCATCCACCCTACGTGCCAGCCAAACTCAGCCACTACCTAATCCTCCAAAATAAACAGTCCATCTGCTACCTCCATACATTTTCCTAAACCAGGCCTAGACAATACATTTTTTGTGGGCCGTCCAAAATCCTTTGGCGTCCACAAGCTGCCTGCGGACCATAGGTTGGGCACACCTGGCCTAAACCATACTCTAGTCATGGAATAGAATTTCTTCTAATCTCTGACTATCAAAAGCCCTATCTTTTTCTTCAAGGCCCAACTAAAGTACCATTTCCTCCATGAAGCTTTCCCTGATTCCCCCCGCCCACTTATTAATGTTCTCCCTCTTCAAATTATTTTATGTTTATCTGCCTACATAATGTTATATCCGCCTCCCTCCAAGTAGAATGTAAGCTCCTTGAGAACAGGAAACTTTTCAAATTTGTCTTGATATTCCAGTGTCTAGTCCTGTGTCTAGCATATAGCAAGCACTTAATAACTATTTGTTGAACTGTTGAATCATCCTATGGGCTGCTTTGTGGTTTGGGGATTTCAAAACATACCTAAGGCTACCTTTCAAGCTCTTCTCCTTCCCACTCAGTAAATCATAACTCGTACTAGGTGTGGTTTGAAGTATTCAAGGTTCCTTTTTGTTACCACAGGCTATAGGCTATCCCAGCATGCTCTTAGGGCCCTTCCAAGTTTTGGAAGCTAGTTGCATAGACCACAGCTTGAAATACATAGGTCATTTATCTAGAGCTTATAAATATTTTAGTAATGTAGGTTTCTATGGAAATAGGTATCTCCTAGTGATAGATCAAACAGATTTTTTCTTCAAGTGGGCTCCAAATGATATATTCAGGGATAGAAACAAAGAACTTCATAATCTCAGACTGGGTCTGCATTTTAACAACTATCAAAGCCTTAGAATAAAGGAAATATTGGTTCTTTCCCTTTTCAATGAGTCTCACTAAGCCAGGGAAAAGGTGAAGTTGCAAGGGCCATTCAAACTCTACCCTGGAGATCATCAAGTAGGCATTGTTCTGCTAACAATGTCTTAATGGTGGAACTTCTAGCATTAGTTGATTAGGGAGAAAGATCTATGGATGTTAGGTCTTGTGAGGGTACCAAAAAACCCACCACATCAAGCAAGCATGATAATATCTCCAGCATTTATGAGAGATGGTGAACCAGAAGCTGAATGTTAGACTTAGACAAGAACTGGCATGAGGCAACAGGTAAAACAGACAATATATGCAAGCAATGGTGTTAAGCCAGTGAGCTAGCCAACATGGTTACTTACCCACTCATAAAATCCCCAAATATGTACAGCCCATTCAAATTGGGGGACTGGCAGCCCCGGTAGATGTAGCCTCCTGTGACTGACTTTCCCATCTTGTGTGGATACGCGTAGATTGGAAGAACATCATCTGTAAGGGAAGACACATGGCTTCTGTTTCCCTCGTGCACTTGGCTACCAGCCTGGGCTACACAAGTCAAGCTCCAGCCTAGAAGGTGCACCAGACACAACAAATGGCTTGAAATACTAGAAGGGCTATCACAGGGAAAAAGGATTGCTCTGCTTAACCCCAGAAGGCAGAACTAGGAGCAATCAGTCAGGAGTTACAAAAAAGAAAACTTTAGTTCGATGTAAGGAAATATTTCTCAATTGGAGCTAGTTAAAAGTGGATTGAGTTACTTCAGTAGGCAATGAGCTGTCCGTCACTAGAAGTCTTCAAGCAGAGCATGGATGGTCATTTGTCATGGATGCTGTAGTAGGGACTCCTGTTCTGATGTGATTTATCCTAAAGGATTTCTGAAGTTCCTTCTGAGGGTAAGAGTCTCTTATTTTATAATTAGCCACTTTCTTGCATATCTTATATTTCATCTATAATAGGATTTTCCTGAATATCACAATAAAGTGAATTTAAAAAGATAGACATCCTCATTTGAATATATATGATTTGCATATTATTTGCAAGTGGCCATACTTGCCATATAATCTATTCTCAAGTTCCTTTCAAAATTTGAGGTTCCCACATCCTAATTTTTCTCTTTTTTCTTCTCCACTAATCAGTTTTATTGACCCAGGTCTTCTCCCTCAGCCAGGAAAAGGGAGAGAGAAGCTGGAAGGGCCACCCAAAGTCTTTCTTGAGTCATAGTGTAGAGCAGGGATTCTTAACCTTTTTGTGTGTCTTGGACCACTTTTGGCAGTATGGGAAAGCCTAACCCTTCTTAGACATTTAATGTTTTAAAAATGTATAAAACAGAATGCAGAGAATCACAAAGAAAACCAGCAATATTGAAAAACAAGGATCAAAATATTTCTTTAAAAAATATATACTGAACCCAGATTAAGGACTCCTGGTTTAGAGAATTTTCATTTGGGTTCCTAACAAGGAGTACATGTCATCACATTGGGGGGGCAGGGTTGTAGATGGGCAGGAGAGGGAGAGATTGGCATCTAAAATCAGGAAAGCAGCAACTACTACCTATAAGTCTAACAAGGAACAAGGGCCTCTCTCCCACTCTGAGGGTGCTTGTAGGTGGAACAGAAAGAAAGAAAGAAAGAAAGAAAGAAAGAAAGAAAGAAAGAAAGAAAGAAAGAAAG